TATAAAAGTTCTTTCATCTTAATTTATGATCGAATATTACCCCTAGGTCTTTGATCTCATTACATCTCAGCAGATCTGAATCCTGTATTACATACGGGAATGTATAAATTTCTTTTTTCGACTATAACTCACTACTTTACATTTCTCCACATTGAGTTTCAATTTATTATTGCTACACCAAGCAACAAGAAATTGTAACTGAGATTGAAGATTTACACAATCACCTACTTCCTTAATTATAGAAAATAATTTCAAGTCATTCGCGAAGCATAACTGCTCACAAGCTAAACTTTCACATACGTCATTAATAAACAATGAAAACAAAAGAGGACCTAGGTTGGAGCCCTGAGATACACCAGAATTAAGAAGCTATATATGTTCTAGATTTATAACCGTTATAGGACACGAATTGTTTTCTACATGTCAGATAGGATTGCATCAGCTGACAGGCAATATTTGAAAAACCAAAATTCATCAGTTTATTGAGCAAGACACCAGATCAATTTTATCAAATGCTTTAGAGAAATCCGTGTACCTATATAACATCAACTTGGTCATTGTTATCTAATGCTTTTTTTAACTTTTGAACAGGACAAGATATCAAGGTCGGAGAAATTTTACGTAAAAAGTACTTTTAACGTTAAAACATTATTAATACTTTTTGTTGTATCACTCGTTGCCGAGAAGGCGCAGCCAACTTTATTTTTTGAAGTAGAAAAGGGGTTTTGTATTAACTCGTTTGATGGGTATTTCAATTCTTCATCCAATTATTTTTTATTGTTGGAAATCGAATTAGCCGTTCCCGAGTAATTAGCAGTTTTAAATCAGTTTCAACTCCAGTTCATTGCAATGTTAATCATTATCTCCCTGGGCAATAAAGAAGTCTGTTTTCAATTATTTTTTGTACATTATGAAATGTTCCTGAAATGAATTGTGGTTATGTATCGTACACTTCAGCTATCAAGTATTTCCTCAAAAACATCTAGAGGCGTCATATCAGGAATCATGTTTGTCTACCGGTTTGGAAAATTGTCAAATCCGAATGTGTTTTCAAATGATATCAGATTTCAGCAAGATGTGGTACCTTTTTATAGCGACGAGCTGATTTGAAAGTGGCTGGATGAGAATAATTCAAATCAGTGGATAGATAAACGTGGTCCCTTAGAATGACCCGCTGCATTAGGTACCTGATATGACTCCTTCAGAGGTGCTTCTAACGAAATTACCCGAGAAACATTACGTAATGAATTTGTTAACAATCTTAATTATTGTGTAGAAGTGTATGGTGTCTGATTCTAACAACTATTGAAATTGAACGAGTTTAGAACACAATTTTCCTCAAAATCATGACATTTATCCTTTGTTTGTAAATCCTTCAAACTAATATAAAACTATTATAATTACTCGAGAACGGCTGATCAGATTTTCAAAAACAAAAATCTGTTGAAGATAACTGAAAATTGAAATACATATCAAACAATTACAATTATATTGTAATAGGCGTAGCCGCCATATTGAAATGGCGGTAATTCAAAACATTCGTACTCTGTTTTAATCAACAATGGCTGGGCAAGGTATATTATCTCTACAAGCAAATAAATTATTGGAAAAAACCATTGATGCTGCTTCACTTTTTTATAATGCAGTCGATGCTCATAATTGTGAACAATTAAAAAGGTGGTTAAAATATCATGGGCGACCGCAAAAAGGAAAAAAAAGTGAGAAGATGTCAACAACGACCCTCGTCCTGGACGTGCTAACACTTCAACAATGTATGGAAATGTTTGGGAAAGTGAAGATAATTGTTATGGAGAATTGTCGAATTGCTATACGAGTTGCTGACGAGTGGCCAAACAGCCTGAAACTGGTCTGCAAGTGTGTTCCAATAATTGAAAATCTATGCAGGAATAACTTCAGTGGAGAATCTTGCACTGACACCTGTCGGATATAATCCATCGCTCTTCGTGGTATTAGCCAGGCGAGTAGTTGTTTTCTGATAGGTGTCAGTACATTAACCTACAGTGTAGGGAGTTGAGACTGGCCTGAACGAATTGTTATTTTAGAGGATTTGATTTATAGTCAGTCTTCAAGTATGCCCACTGACTATATGTGAGAAGATTTCTTTCCTAATACGAGGAATTGGGCAAATATCGGATATGGCAGATGGGGCGATGAAAAACCTGTTGTCGGTTGTCCGCTTCAGCTTAGTTCGAGGAATGATACTCTGAAAGAATTCGATTTTCAATTATCGGAAATCATCGACTTTATGTCGATGATAGATACTACCTTGCACTGACGAGTAGCCAAACAGCCCGAAACCGGTCTGCAAGTGTGTTCCAACAATTGAAAATCTATTGCGGTCATTGTATCGCCAACAGCTTATGCAGGAATAACTTCAGTGAAGAATCCTACACTGACACCTGTCGGATATAATCCAACGTCCTTCGTGGTATTAGCCAGGGAGTAGTTTTTTTCTGATAGGTGTCAGTCCATTAACCTACAGTGTAGGAAGTTGAGACTGGCCTGAACAAATTGTTTTTTTAGATGATTTGCCCACTGACTACATGTGAGATGAAACCTTATTATTTAAATTTTATTAGTAGATTCCTCGAATGATAATATTAATGAATGACGTCACTGGAGGTTACAAGAAACTGTTGTGTAGAAATAAAAGTAAATGTATAAATAAGATGTTTCAACGAACAAACCCTGGAAGAGTTCCTGATTTGGTCCTTTTTATCGAAACAAAACTCAAAACAAAACAATAAATTACAGAAATAAACTCAAAATTGAACTGAAAACAAACAAGCCCCTTAATTTAACGAAAACAACGAACACAGCAAAATGACTTGTTTGTATATTTTTTTTGTACTTTTCTTCATGTCAGGTATCTTTTTGAATTTAAACGTACATACATTTTTGCTTTTCGTTTAGAAAATTCATTGAGGTTA